TGGGGGGACTCTGCCCCCTACAAAAAATGCACTTCTGTTCAGCTTCGGAGGGGGGTGGGAACACCGCAGATTTCTGATGTCATGGGTGTATCGCACCATCGCATTTCTTATTGGGGCGTTTCTTACGTTGTGGCCGAGATTGAGCTATGTTTCTTAGCCCTTTTTGTGTATTTTCGTACAAACTTGAGCCTCTCTTCTTACCATAATTTTTCTCAACTGCGGGCGCTATCTTTGTTTGTACGCGAAGGGAAGGGGTGGCGAGTACCGTGAGACGCAGTACCTTCTTTCGAAGACCGTTCATTCGTTTTATCATGAAATTCAACCGAGCCGTAGAGCCAAGCCGCGGGGGGAGGTTCAGGGAACTCTTCGCGATATAAATGTGGAAGGAAAAGCCATCAGGGTAGCTTTTGGTCTCCGCCGGGACAGTGATATGTACTGGTGTTTCTCGGTGCGACGCTGGAATACGCTCGTTTTTCTTTGTTTCACAAGAATGAGATAAATATATTTCTACTTGGACTTTCCTCCTCCTTCCGCTGCCGGCTATGCAGTACATTAGTTGGCCAAGTACAAACTGGTGTGCTATCGTGGTTTTCAACACGTCCCCGACTGCTGTAAGTCTCAGAAATGGTGCTGAAAGTATGTTCGACGTCAACAAACGGTTGCCAGTCGTCTCGGCGATGCTGACTGTTCGTACCACCCCCTTCGTTAGCAAAAGACGCGTAGTTTGAGGTATAGCATGCCTCCATTGGCCCCGGGGATGGTGAGCTATCGTCCCCTGAATTTCAAGGACGCAACCGCGCTTTAAGGACGTTTTTTTTTTCGGGAAAAGCCATGTGCGTCCTTAAAGCGAGGCCGACTGTAGTAAAACCCACACCTAGGGATTCGTGCACGCTTGTATACCGTCTGCACGCCTGTCCCCTCGCCGGACCACTTCAAGTAACGTGATGATGATGCTCTGGCACCTCTGAGTTATGCTCTCTCGCTTGACTCCATATGTAGGTTCTTTTTGGAATGAACGCCCCAAAGTAATCACCATCAACCATCGATCCCGACGCGTTGGTATGTTGACAACCTGCATGGCAGCGTGTCTGCACCGTGATTTCCTTGCTGTCGCGGTGACGACACCTCTGCTCTGGTGTCCCCTTTCCTTTATTGATTCATAGAAGAAGTGCAACATTTTGAAAGTGTCCGGCTTGCAGATAGTAAGATGAGTTACACAGATACATATTCGCGGGCTTCGCCCGCGTAATTACACTCCAAAAGCTCTGTCCCGGTACATAAAATTTGCCGCATATTTGTACAGAGACCAAACACAAACCACGTACAAATACGGTATGTAGCGGCCCAGCCTTGTGGTGCTGTACAGCAGCAGTAGCCCGGATACAACCACTTGTGCGTGTGATGCACACGACGATTACCTTGTCGTACATGCAAGAACAACACGAATTCAAACTGTACGGTTCCACCACCTGCGGTACTGCTGTAGCCCCGAAAATATGTCCACCGTTCGTTCGGTCATGGAAGTGCTTGCTAGGAGTTCTACTCTCCGGATTCCAGCTGCTTGTCATGGATACGTAGCAATGCTGGTTGAACATAGTGGTGATCCAAACCCATGTGCTCATGCGGGGTCTCTGTGAGGACCGCAGCGAGGACGAAAGCGGCGCAGCGCGGGGCGTGACCAAGGATGGAGAGGGCTAGAAAATGCTTGTAACAGACTCGTTTCCGAGGAAACAGTTTGATTGCTTCGGCAACTAAATTTCCCCCAACTTTCTACTTCTCGGGTGCATCAGGGGCTAAGAAGGGTCCGTGTTGCATGCTGTATTGTGTGGAGCCCGCGATGTGCCCATGTTCCCCTAACCTCATGCCAAAATTTCTGTTCCGAATCCCCGTTCCCCTCAGGTCGTGCGAGTCCGGCCCAAACCTGCAAGGGCGTGTCTCCGGAGGCTGGGGAGAGTGGCGGAGCAGCTTCTGGGGGAGTCACGTACGGTTGAAGAGAAAGTGGCGGCTTTCGGCCCGATCAGAGCCGAGGGACAATTCGTGTCGGGATATGCAGGAGGGGGAGACTACGGTTCTGGTCAGTTTCTGGAGACAAGGGGCATCGGCGGAGACGAGATTGTCCCTCACGTTGATGATGATGCCGTAGCCGGTTTGATCGAGGGCAGGGTGAGTACACTGTGGCGGCAGAGCTTAGAGGAGCAGCTTCCTGCCATGGTCTACTTTGTGTGCCGTGGCCATGAACCCGCATGGAGCGATGGAAGAGTAGAGGGTTGTGTTTATCACGCCACATGTGTATCAGCACACAGCCGCAGTTCTGTTTTTTCCCCTTGCCTCATGATCTCGCCAGATGCCCCCGCCTCTCTTCTGCCTGCCACCAAACCGCCTGTAAAGTCCCCCGGCTGATCCCCGTACTGTTTCCCTTGGCTTCCGTGGACCATGACGGCGAGTCGGCCTTACGAGCTCCCTCATTTTCCCGATTCCATCCGACGTGGACGCCATGTATCAGCGGGCTCTGACGGCGATTTCAGGCGGCATTCTGCAAGCCGTGTTGCGCCAGAGCTTGCCCGAGATCGACCCCGCCTCCTTCCTCGGCCTCGTGGATCCGGGAGAGGGCCGACAGGGCGTAGGAGGGTCCTCCCCAAAGATGTCCGCTTCGCCTCTGAGAGTATGCCGCTACGCCGGCGGCGGCGACGGCGTTGCGTTCGGTGAGCGCTCACACAATCTCCGACAAGACGCATGCTCTTTTTTTGTCAGTGCGTACAGCAGCAGCAGCAGCAGCGACCAGGGAGAGGAAGAACGAGGGGGCGGTAGCGATGTTGTTCCCCGGCGCTTCCAGCTCGACGTGTTCGAAGGCTATCCCGTATTGTTCTGTTTCTTGCCTCGAACGTTTTATTTCCGTTCTTTGATTTCCGGCAGTGGGTGTGTACCCTCTTGGCGTAGGTGGCCTGTGACCGCCCGCATCAGCTTGGACCAGCACGGGTAGTAAAAGGAACTGAGAACAGACCGGTTCGGTGTTTGATGTGTAGCACTACAACAAGATCCGTACGCACTCAGAAAAGACAAGCCTGCTGTATGCTGTAAATTGCCGCACTATCTGACACCCAAGGTTTTTGGACGCACGCCCCCACGCAGGCACCCACACAGACACAACCTTCCTGACCGTGATCCCGTGCGCTTCGGCCCCGGGGCTGGAGATCATCCAGCCATCGACGGGTCGCTGGGTGCGGCCGGAAGCATCACGGGACTGTCGGCCCGGCTCTGACGTTATGCTGCTCGCCGGAGAGCTGCTGCAGGTGTTCGGGAGAGGCCGGTACCAGGCTGCCGTGCACCGCGTGGTGCGGCCCGCGGGCAGCACGGAACCCCGTGTGTCGACCCCGTTGCTGCTCCGCGGGGTTGCCGGGGCTGCCATTCGAGGCTCGATGCTCCCGCCAGCGGTTGCGGCGAGACTTGAGAGAAGGTCAGAGGAAGCGAAGCAGACACGGCGGGAGATAAGGAGGGCGGCGGGAGGATCATCTTGGGAGGAAGGCGACGAGGGGGGGGAGCTGAACATGACGGACCTGTGGGCGGCTTTGCAGTTCAGGGGAGGTGCGACGCCAGGGTCCAGCGGCGGCGGGGATGGCTGGAGCGGCGAGATCTCGGACAGCGTTTCTTCCCCGCCGCCGCTCGCCCAGGCGAAGACCACCGACCAGATCCGAGAGTGTTTTGAGCCGTACGCGCGGGACGGCGTCGCCGTCCTGAGCGTTGACCCGCTCCTGGTCCGGCTGCGCGGCTTCGCGTCCCCAGACCAATGCTCGGCGATCATTGACCAAGGCATGGAGAGCTTGGAGGAATCCACGACGTGGGGCGGCGCGGGCGCTCAGACCGAGTCGGACGTCCTGAGGAGGAGCGCAACCACCTGGCTAGCGGACGACTGCCTGGCGCCGCTTCTCGGACGCTTGACGGAGAGGGTTAGTGGGATGTCCGGCGTGCCCTCGGCGTTCATGGAGAAGTGGCAGGTGTTAGTATACCACGGGGATAGGGTGGGTGGGTGGAGTCACTGTCCGTTGGGTGAGGCCGTTCTTTGTGATAGACTGAGACGCGACAAATCCGCAACGGCGGGAAATCGGTGGCTCGTTCGCCGCATGTACGAGGTATAAGGTTTCGCGAGGCCGGTATCAAGCTAGTACATTGCATGCTGCCGCCAGCTTTACCGTGGTTGGGGCAAGGAAATGGCAGCACGGGGGTAAGCTAGCTCTCCCTGTCTCCGGCCACCCAAGACATGTATCGCCGGCTTGCAGGTGTCGATTTGCTGTAGCTATCCTGATGATGCATTCTTCCGCCAACAACGCAACGCTAGATTGGCGACAATCGCTTAGAAAATGAGTGAACGAACTTGATTACACTCTGATCGAAAACGTTGGTACGAATTACGACTCCATTTTTTTTTTTGTACAACACGTGACACTACCTCTCACCAAAGGAAGGAGTAGCATTTATGCAAATGTCAAAACCTGTGTGTAGGCACAAATTTTGCGTCTGTGTTATCTACTTACGCTGACTTGATTGGCCGACGCTCGTGTCGTTGACGAAGGTGGCACGATACCGGCCTGACGGCTACTTCAAGCTGCACACCGACCACGTGGAAGACTTCAACAGCCTCGTATGCGGCGGGCGGCTCGGCACCCTTATCCTGTACCTCAACGACGACTTCACCGGCGGCCAGACCGACTTCCCGTTCGTGCATGTGGCTGTAGCGCCGTTTGCGGGAGACGCCATCTACTTCCACAGCGTGCAGGTACGTACGGGTAGGATACCGCACACGACACGAGAAGCTACGAAAGCCTTGGCTAATGCACACAATCTAGCTTCTACCATGACCGGGTGTGTTGTGTGCGTCGGTGGTGCTATATTGCGTGGGTGTGTTATACCTTGTGTGGTTCTGAACGATATGTTCCTGTGGACTGCCTGTTTCGCGAGAAACTAAGGTGCAGTGAGGAAAAAGAACTGGGAGGAGGTACGCAGACCTCATCCCTACCCCTCCCCCAATTTCCCCGATTGCATTCTTTATCCAACACGCTTGCTTCAACAGAAAGGCCATGCGAAAGCAACTGGTTCCTATGCATGTGCGTGTGTGTATTGATTTGTAGAGTATTTATTGCGTGCAGCTTGCAGGGTGTGTCGGTATCGCACGTACGTAGTGCCGTGTGTCGGTATCGCACGTAAGTGGCGCCATCGTGTTGGTGTTTGTATGAAAGGTAGTACGTATGCATATTGCATCATGAATATGCGTCACCTCAATCAACCCGGCCGGTTGTCGTCAAGCGCACGCATCGTGACATGGACCGGCGGGTATCTCTCGGTGGTCCCTTTTTCTTATTGTGGAACGGTCGGCCGCGTGCACCACAGCTGCCCGTGGAAGAGGATGCCGTCTATCTAAGCCTACGCTGAATTGTTGTCAGTGATGCCAGCTACAGCAGAGCTAATCACAACAACATATTTGGTGAAACGGTCGGTCGCGTGCACCGCAGCTGCCGGTGGAAGAGGATGCCGACTCTATGCGGCCGGACGAGAGGAGCGCGCACTCGGGGCTAGCCGTCACGGGAGGGGACAAGTGGATCGCGACGAAGTGGATACACCCGCTGCCATACCCTAACGGGAGAGTTGATGACGAGGAGTCTACGGAGGACCTATCGCCATACGCCGAATGGGCGCCCTACCCTCCGATCGGGATCGCGGAATGAGCAAAAGACGACAGCCTCACTCTGTCCGGAAATATAGGGACCATTCACTCGTGGTTTTCGCGCTTGTATCCTAATGGCCCGTACATGTTCGGAAGAGTGGTATAATTTTTGCCTACGGAAAAAAGCCACGCCTTGCCCTGAAGGTAGGGCGACAGACGGGCGGCGACGTCCTTTAAGGTGGCGTGTCGTGTGTGTTTGTCCGTCCCTGTCTATTCTGGCGCTAGTCAACACCTCTCGGTGTACTTTTGTGATCAGCCATGATCACACGGGAAGCTTCACCCCGGTTTCCAAACCGGAACTTTTTGTGATGAAGGCCCCCCCTTTCCTCCTGCGGCGCTTGCCTTCGTGGGCAAAGTTTTTACTGTTTTTTACTTCATATGTAGAGGAGGGTCAGGGGCGCAGATGATTTGTCACCGCCTAGTGGTATCTAGACCGGGTATAGTCTTGTGCGAAAGTTGCCGATTTCTCGCTCGACAAAAAAAGCGCGCCAAATGAGAGAAGAGCATTACATACCTTCTTTGCCGTGACCCTACGAGATTCGGGCAAAACGGAAAATAATTCCTGCAGGCTTTGGTAGGGAATACCTAAAGAGATATGGTGGCACGCAGAGAAGGCACCGACAAACAATTCTGGTGGGTTGGGTACCAGGTTTTCTTAGTGGTGAAGGAAAAGGGGCTGGGTTGTTCGTCGTGTACGACTAATAGGCGCAGGGATTGAGGGCCCGTGGGGGGGGGGGAGCGAGAGTGCTGACTGCTGTACAAAAAAAAGAGGAAGGGGTTGTCTTGGCAGCGTGTGGTTGGCTCAAATGAGACGAGCGCAATTGAGGCGATGTAGTTGTTATTCGTCGCCCGTGACGGGAAAAGCGGGCATGTATGCTTGTGTGTGTTTGTTTTGGTGGCTTGGGGATTGAAGGTTCATGCAATAGAGAAGAGAACAGGTTAGCGTGAAGTCCGCAGTAGTAAAAGACATCCGCATAGTTGGCCTGTGTATCGCTATTTTTTATAGCTGGCCGAGACCGCCAACTTGCAGTAGGGGAATGAAGGCCACTGAGGCCGCTAGACACGAGAACAGCATGTGATGCGTCCGGCAATTGAGGATTGACCAATTGCTTGCCTCCTCGTTATCGTGAGCTTGCCGTGGACGTGGCACAGCATATATCGTTTGTTTTTCAAGAACCTGTGTGCAAGAGCGTGATTTCAACCTTACCCGTTGCAACAGAGTGTGGGCTTCACCCCAACGGTTGGAATTTTGTCAAGAATCATGGCCCGCCTGTCTGCCATTGGCCAACAGGGAGACACGGTTGCTCTTTTCCTCTTTCTGCCTATGACAGAACGAGGAGAATGGTGTCCGACAAGTCGCGGAAAAACTTTCCACCACAAACAAATGGTACACAAGTTGCCACCGAAGACATCATGGACGAGAGAGACTGGAAGCAAGCCTGTCCTCGACCGTTCTCACAAACATTTCACAGCAAAATCAGCTGTACCCTCACGTTCTCTTTTTCTTCATTCAGACGAAAACACCACCCGGTCACCTCAGAACCCACTACGCACCAGCAGTTCCATTGGCAGCCGCATCGCTTCTCGAGGTGCTTGAAACAGACTGCAAGAAGAGCACCTCGGTTGCATCTTACTGCAACCTCTATCTCCCGTACAACTATTCCAAAAATCCTAAAGACCATGGTCTTTACATGAAAAAAGCCTCTAAACTTGAATACGAGAGCTCTCACCAGCCCCAAACCACACTACTACTTTTGATGCGAGAACGCAAACACCATATAATTTATACTACCACCCCGAGGACAACTTGTCTAACTCTACAACTCGAAGCATCACCGCTTAGCACAGCAGCAGCAGCAGCAGCCCAGTGGGCACCAATACCGCATCTGAACGCGTGATTTTTGTTCTTTCCATTCCGGAGCGAAGAATTCAATGACCAACATGACAAGGCTCTGCCAACGCCTCGCTGCTGTTGTCTCCCCAAGAGCATGGCGATACAAGCACCACCCACATCTCCATCCCCTTCTATTTCGCCTCCCCTGCCCACCCAGTCCCCACAGCACGCGCACGCTTTTGGGGCCTTGCACACCGTACATCATTGCAGAGACCCAACACAGAAATCCAACCGCACAAACTAGAAGACTCCTCCCGTGTCTAGCATCGTGCAATTGTTCCGATTTCCTTCTGCGACCTTCCGAAAACAAATCTTGCACGCCTGCCGGATAGATGGGACATGCACTCCTTCACACCAAACACAAAAAAATACGGCACATAAAAAGCCCAGCATGCTCAGCCTGGAATTTGGAACAAAACAAAGCGCCACATGCACAACAGTGCGGTGCAAATCCGATTCAACGACTTCTCTCACGAACCATTGAATCTTCGGCACGGAGATCGCCAACGGAGATCGCCAACGGAAATTGTCAACGGAGATCGTCAACGGAGGTCGCTAACGGAGATCGCCAACGGAGATCGCCAACGGAGATCGTCAATTGCATCAAACTCCAGGGGCAGCGTGAGAGAAGGAGCTCGGCAAACACCCTAAGCACAAGGTGCGGTCATCGCCGACCGAAGGCGAGAGGCACTAACCTAGGTTTAGCTTTTCTTTTCCAAAGGAACAACGGCAATGTCTCACACGCCGCCTACCCTCGGCTCACGGCTCATAGGCCATCCTCTCCCCGCCGGTCTTAGAGCTGCTGTTGAGCGCGCTGAAGGTCATGTAGTCGCTCGCCCACTGCACCCCCCCGATGATGCGGCTGACCTCGAGAGCCATTTCAGTGCTGGACATGCTCAAAGACCGCGAAGCCTCATCCAGCAAGGACGGCCCTGAACAACAAAACAATCAAGTGGAAGAAGAGAAGATTGGCACCATTTCACGTCCGTTCCGTACGCGTAAATGTACCACCAAGCATGCGAGGGTGATCCACCATGCCGGTGCCGCTTGCTCCATGTACCGTGGTGACCGCGATACTATATTTTTTAGACATGTCCCTCGCCGGGAATAAACCAGAACTGGGGTGGAAGAACAACTGGAAAGAAAAGAGTGGGACGACAGGGTCGAACTGTTGCAAGGTGTTTTGACAAAAAAAAAAATGGGGTGCGTGTGTTTACCAACAACCCCGCTTGCAGTGGTCCCTGGATTAGGATGTCCCAAGTCAAACGCTCAATTCGCAAGCCAGGCCAGCACCGCTGTTTGAGCAACAGCGATGGATAGGAACTTGACCAACCAACCGTCGGCGCACAACAAATCAAAGCACATTGCCTCTCGCTTTTGCCCCTGATGAGGAGAGAAAGCTTCATTGCACCGCACCTCTTACACGACAGGAACTTGACCAACCGGCCGGCAACACACACTCAAAAACAACTTGTGTCTCCTGCCCCTTATGAGGACAGAATCTTGATTGCATCGCCCCCCTACGACGAACAGGAACTTGATCAACCGACCGGCAACACAAAGTCAACAACAAAGAATCGTCTCGCTCCCGCCCCTTGAAGCTTGATTGCACCGCACCTCTCGACGTTGCCGGGTCCAGAAGAGAGGGGCCTCTTTCCTTCGGCGGTGGCTCTTTCTTGCCGGCCATGACGGCAACGACGCCCCTCTGGTATACGGCCATCGCCTCCTCTGGAAACCCTGCCCTCATCTCCACCTGTTCGTACACCTGTTGTTTGAGGGCGTGGATTGAGCAAATTTGAGACCGGAACGTTTCTTTGACGTATGAAGACAACCACAATAAATTGGCTTTCGACTGTGGCTATATCTCGAACGGGTAATCTTTCTGTGTTTCATGGCTATTTTCTAAAAATTGAGAAAACAACGAAAAACTAAATATTATAGCGGCCAGGACAAAAGCTGTAAAGGGAAGTACGGCCATGAGAAGTACACACAGCAGTATACAAGAGAAAGCCGGATACAACATAACTATATGGGCTTGTCCAACACTCTCCTCATGTTGCATGCAAAGCCGGCACTGTGCGGGAAATCACCACCACACAAAATAAAAACACGACGGCAGCGCGCGCGCGACAAGAAAAATCATCGAAACATCAACGCAGACACGATTCCGGGTATCAGCCATGCCGGGAGAATCGCGAGACACAGACTATGATTTGTATCATGTCCTGAATCATGCCGGGGTGCCCGGAATAATGCCGGCTGAATCGGCGTGACACGAACCGGCACAAAATCGGGACCACCACCGTACATTCCACCGCCTGTTGTATCCGCGGCTATGATATGTCTATGCTTGCAAGGGTGGAGGACAAAACCCAAGGGTATTTGTCCACGTTGCTCTGTTTCGGACGGGTACCACAACTACCGTAGGTTGCGTGATGTTAGATATCACACCCCCTGGGCCGGTTTTCAAAGGTCGATATCTCGGCAGGGAATACAGCGACGGTGACGAGAATGGCGGCGTTGGAGCCGTCTCGTCACAAGCTTTCCGACAACGTATTATTCGAGCTCGACATGCTCTTCGTCATCAAGTAATCGAACTTTGAAAAATCGGCGCAGGGGGTGTGTTATCTAACATCATGCAACCTACGGTATCCGTAGAACCGCCGTGCTTTCTACGATAGCGGTTCGACACTTGTATTCGTTCTCCCCTTGGCACAAAGCACCCAACTGCTGTCACGTCCGACAAGCGCGGTTTCCCCAAAAGGCTACCGCCCTTGTGTCATTTTGACCGGACTGACTACTGTCAGCAGCGGCTAACCCCTCCTTTGTCTCGTCCCCACAGACTCGCGAAGCGAACCACTTGCACCGAAAGGCTTGGCGCCACACCACCACCGTACACGTACACTCACGTTCCAAATGTCTGCGTTGTCCGCCTGGGTGGTGGTGGCAATCTCGAAGAGCTGTCGCGCTCTGCCGATGTCTCCCACGTACTCCTCCATGAGAGCCCACGCCACCATCACCGGAAGGGAATACGGGTCCCTCGCCAGCGCAAACCTGTACCGAAAAGGGGCGAATTGTGCCGCATGAGGCGTGAGAGAGAGAGAGGTACTGCTGCACACACACGCTCTTTATTGCACTCCTAATTCCTTCTGTGTCTCGGCAAGAAAGTAACGCCCACATCCCACGAGACTTCCGACTTAAAGGCTGGAGGTGCGCGAAAAGTCATGCTATCATCCCCACTCCTTAGGCATGAAACAATGTCCTCGCACGCGATTTCGTCTTCATTCATGCCGTTTCCACTCGTTCGCCTAAAGGCTGACACGACGCAAGTGCCGAAGGCCCACGGGGCTAGCATATCAAACAGACAAACGAGCGCACACGATGCGCATAGCTCGGTCGACGTGTACTACCACCACCAAAGACATTAGTTGTGTACAACAAATAACATCCACCATCACTAGCAACAACATCAACAAATTCCTCACCCGAACTACTTGCGAGCAACAGGCAATATAGGTTAGGCATGGTGTGCTTAACTCCATCGACGTGGAAACACCACCAGCACCAACATCAAACCAATTCCTCACCCAAACTACTTGCGAGCAACAGGGAATTTGGATTAGGCATGATGCGCGTAACTCCGTCGACGTGTAAACACCAACAACATCAACAAAGTAGAAGAAATCCCTCACCCAAAGTATTTGCGAGCATCGTTCCAGTTCCCCTGCGTGGCCTCAAGTATGCCCCAAGCCTGCAAGATGCGAACCACGTAGGGCCCCTTGGGGTTTTGCCACACACCCTCCTGGAACAGTTTCCTGTGGAAAACATGCACACACATACATCAGATGTTCGAAACCACAAAGAAATAGCGGGGAGAAACTTGCGTTGCGATGGAGCAGAAGATGAACTCACGCAATCACAACATAGAACGGCTGGTCTATAAGACAACCAAGGCAAGAAATTCGCAGACAGAGATGCCATCGATATTGTATGGAGAGAGGTTTCGTTGTAGAACAACAAGAACAGAGCCAGGAACAGCAGTAGTTTCGACCCAAAGCACTTCATGTGCCACAACCTCTCCCCAATCGACACAACTTAAAAGGGGTGAAGGGGTCGAAGAGAGGCTTCGCCGTTTCTATTCCGACCTATCTACGCACGCGACAGCATGAGACAAGAATGTGGAGCCACGAGTCGATCGAGACACGGGCACTGCACATACCACATACTGTACCTGGCTCGAGAAATCTGTCCAAGCTCCCACTCGAGCATACCCCACGCCTGCCAAGTCGGACAGTGCTTCGGAGATTGCATCGTCCCCTTGCTGAAGAGAGCCCTCGCTCCCGCAACGTCCCCCATGTCCT